AGAGAGAGAGAGAGAGAGAGAGAGAGAGAGAGAGAGAGAGAGAAATTGAGAGACAGACAGAGAGAGAGGGGGGACGTTGGTGGGGAGTAAATTGTTGTACAAATGTTGCATGTTTTTGTGGCATAAAATGCTCCATGTCTTTGAGGTGCATGAGGTTGTAAGGTTTCATGGGTTTTTGTTTTTTTGTTTTTTTGTTGTTTTTCTTTAGGTACAAAATGTTGTAAGATACTATAGTAGAAAATGTTCCATATTTCTGTAACGCAGAATGACCCACGTTCTTATAGTACATGTACTAAACGTTCCATTTTTTGTAGAATGAAATTATCCACGTTTTTTTAATAGAATAAAATGGTCCATGTTCTAGTAGATCTAGATCTAGTAGCGTACAAAATGTTCCATGTTCTTGTAGCAGAAAATTATGTTGTTTTTTTTTTGTTTTTTTTTCAGAAAAATGTTTTCATGGTTTTCTGGTACAATTAATGTTTCATGTTACAAGCGGTACGTTTTCTTCAAGCAGTTTGAATGAAGACGAGACAAAGACATTGTGTTTGGAATGATCTCTTAGGCCAAACAATTTACGGCTTCAGACTCAAAAAGAATGTCGAGGAAGTTTCGGTGGCACAGGGTTTAGATGGGTAGTCACTGCGTGTGTCCTTTAGCAAGACAAGATAACCCAAGCAAAAACATTATTTATAAAAAAACAACTAAAAAAACTAGATCTATATCTAGCAAGCTGTACAGTGACGAACCGCAGTATGTTGTTTTAGTAGTCTTTATTGCTGCAATATTGTGTATTTGGTATTCTTCGTAATTTTGGTATGTATATTTATGTGATAAAGTGTTATAACAATACACATTTGCCATTGTAATCCAAATGTCCCCACAGGGATCAATAAAGTTTAACTGAACTTATTTTTAAAATAAAGTATGATGTATGTTTGTTTATATCCACTGCGAAAAAAATGGAAGTAGGGCGCATTCCTAACTGTCTGGTTATTTTAGTAAGAGTTTTACGGCACTTGCAACACGATAAGGTTATATGAGTGCCGCAGATTAGAGGGGTTACAAAAGGTAACAAACACCCAAAAAAAAGGAGGAGGGGAGATAAAGACAATTGTGAGGCAGCGTGGTGGAATCAGGCTCTCGTCAATTTTTATGCATAATGACTTATTGGCATCATCTTAAAGCTTGTTCATTTGTCTTGCGTTCGATGAAAAAATTACCCATCCATCTTTGATAGAAGTGGACATTTTTTGGATTGAAGGAGGTGGGGGTCACCTGGTTTAAGAGGTAAAATTAGCGAGAAAATGGCCGCCAAAGCTTGGTAAATTCTAAAGCTGGAGAGTCCATGGAAACTGTAAATTCGTATTTTTGTGCCTTTAATCAACGTTTTCGGTGAAATCCTCAAAGGAATATGTTTGTAAATGAACATAAAAGGTGTTAAGCCAAAAAACAACATTTAAAAAAAAAATTGCTGCGCAGGGAGAAAACTGCGGTTTTCTTCGATTTCATTATTTTGACGAGAGCCTGATTCCACCACGCTGATGTAAATGTTCGATAGATAAGAAAGAGCACTCGCCAGCCACCCAGGTAAAGTTACGACATGTTAGAGAGGGGATAAACCCGGAACAAAATCGTTGATGATTCCATGAGTGAGACATCTGATTACTGATTACATCCTTCAATAATGTAGGTTACAATATGTACACAGGTGGCGCCGATAGTCTAGTCTAGTGGTTTGGTTACTGAACTCGTAAGCGCCAGGTTACAGGTTCAAAGGTTCGAACCTTTGGTCTGTCGTTATGTCCCTGGGAATGGCACTTACAAAAGTTTCCTCACTTCACCCAGGTGGGAATCTGGCCCGAGCCATAGAGAGCAGAAGATCTTGTCAGTATGTTAGTGTTTTATTGCTGATAACATAGCAGCTTGCTTCCCAGGAGGTTGAGATTGTTTCAGAATGCCATTAGGTATGCTAGAGTAATGGTGATATTAGAGAATGCAAAACGCATAAAGCTTGCTTTTGAGTGGGAATTTTCACTATACAATAAATGCCATCTTTCATTTTTCTTCTTCTTTTTCTTCTTCCTTGTTCTCGATGACAGCAGCTACCCAGCCAATCTGATGTCGCGCACAAACTGGACAGTCCGCTTCAAATCTGAGAGACTGTCATAGAGCTTTCTCTCAAGAGGATTCACATAACATTCTGCCACGTCTGTGTACGAAGGGTAGCATAGCGTTGGCAGTGCTGAAGGATGGGGTTGGCATCTTCTTGGTCGTGTCCACTTTCGCAGATTGTGGACTCTCCCACTTTTAATTTAGTGTGCATATTATGGTGTTTGAGTCTATTGTGGCCACAACGGAATCGAAAGATTGTGACCTGGTCAGCTCTATTTAGCATGTAGTAGTGGTCACGTCTGTTGTGATTAGGGTGGGATCTTTTCCATCTGTTTCTTATGGCAGATTTTTAAAGCATTTTCTACTCTGAGAAATCCATGTCCTCCTCCATCTGGGTCATTTTGGCTCCTATTTCGGTTAGGTCGTCTGCTTTTTCACTTCTATGAAAGCCACAGTGACCTGGTATCCACTGCAGAGTTGTATTAAGTTATTATTATTACTACTATTACTATTAGTAGTCGTAACAGTATTAGCAGCATTAGTAGTAGTTGGAGAATTATTATTTTTTATTTTTATCATTAGGTCTTATTATTGTTATTATTGTTATTATTATTATTATTATTATTATTATTATTATTATTATTATCATTATTATTATTATTATTATTAGCCATTTTCGGTGTTTTTCAGTAATTTGCTCAAGTTAGAGGTGGGGGATCATCTGTTATTTCTGGAAGTTTACTCGCAAACGCCTTATCGGTAAAGGGGAAACAATCGAGGTAATATACCAAATCGATTGAACTAAATAACGGAGTCGGTTCCCCTGATCGTAACAGACATAATTTGTTTTTTTTGTTCAGTACCAGATTTATTTTTTTAAAGAAAAAAAATAAAAATTAATATAATATACATTTTTTTAAACAACAGAATTTTAAAAAATGAAAAAAAAATGAATGGTATACTTTGGGCGTCCGAAGCACCGGCATGTCGCCAACTGTTGTGTTATTAGTTCTAGTAAGTCTGTCGATCACAGCATTTGCAACACTGTCAGGTTAAAAAAATGGCCCGTGATTAGAAATTAAGCGTATACAAACTGAGCCTATATACTGATCAAGAAAACAGACAGCAGAAAGGAATGGGGTGCCATGATCGTATGTCTGCTCCAGACCTGACACCTGAAGCGAAGAATTAGATCAACAGACAAGCAAAAGGCCGAGAGATAACGACAAAAGATGTCTGATTGGAAACCTGCCAACCACCCTCTAGTTTCGAAGTCGGTTCCCGTGGTGCTTCAAAGTCATTATAAGTATACTTTTTAGGAACGGAACGGTATGCAAAACAACCACAACAACAACAACAACAACAGCAACAACAACACAACAATAACAACAACAATAACAACAACTAACCACCACAACTAACAACAACAACAACAACCAACCAACAACAACAAAAACAACAACAACACAACAACACAACAATAATAACAACAATAACAACAACCAACCACCACCAACAACAACAATAACAACAGTAACAACAATAACAACAATAATTACAACAACAACTCGTGAAAGAGTCACGTCGACCTGAGTGGAAAAGGAAGAAAAAAAGAGCAGAGCATAAAAACAATTATGTGATTGAACAATTTCAGTTCATATTTCCTTAAAAATTGTCAATTCACAGATTAGAAATTCTGTTGACTTTTCTTTCTCGTTTTGGGCAGTTTGTGGTGCTCTTATTAAAGTAAACTCTGACCTCTGCTAGAATTAATCTAACTGTCTATAGCAGAAGCCTCGTGCTTTGCAGACTTACTGCAAGTGCATCAAAGATTCTTTGAGTGCATTGCCATCAATGCTATATTATATTGTAGCCCCCCTGGGCTCCTGACTCTTTCTGCAGCTTTTCTACTGCTATTGATCTTGGCTCCGTACTGCTGTCTCAGCCACATCCCTGATATCTTAGAGTAGGTGAGATTTAACACCTAGGGGCCTATGGTCTTCTCGGAAAAGGGTGGGCTAATAATCTCTGAAGTAACGTGTGTAAAGTGCGCACGTTAAAGATCCCTTTTTTGGTGGTCCAAATAGATAATACTATTTATTATAAGACGAGAGTATATATAGGCTTCGACCGCCATCCATGAAAAATTCAGAATTTAATTCCTCCATCAAACTGAAAATGTGCGCTCATATGACCTTATGCAATTGTGAACGCCGTAAAACATTTTGGCATATAATTTAAAAAAAAGAAAAAGAAGCCCTGGCATTTTAAAAGTGTTAATAATCATATAGCCTAGTTAAGCGGTTAAGCCAAGGCCAATTTGGTAACTCTTTGGTCTTGGTGCTTTGCTTTTGTGATCTTCTTTTTGTTATCTTTTTTGTTGGAGACTTTGTAAACTAATACAATACCAAAAATATCGATGCCTCAAGTGACTTTTTTATTTCTCACAAAGACCGTGCTTGCTTACTGAATTGCCACGCTTTGCCCCATTTCGAGATGAAGTGATTTGCCAGGGATTTGTTCATTTCTGTGGTATTTGTCAAAAATTTTATGAATAAACAATCTTTAGTTACAGTCTGTGGAAATTTGAACATTTGAATTCGATTCTAACGAATACTTCCGATTCTCCGTGATTCAACTTCCGTGTTTTTCCTTTGGTTCGGGTACTGTTTCTGCTAACTGCTGCAGCTGACCGTCTCCTTGGCTTGTTTTATTTGGATACCTTGTTAAAAGAACACAGTACGGCATGAACATTATAATTTCGATCCGTCCCTTTTGTTTCTAGATCTACTGTTTTCATTTTGCTCCATGTTTTTCAGTCGAACAAAAATCCACGAGCCACTGTCACTCCTCAGAATCTGTCACTTCCCTCTTCCACTCCCACCTCCCACTCCAACAGACTCAAAAATCAACACGGCAACATCCGCATTCTCAGCCTCTTTTGTCACTCGTGAATATGCCACTCACTTTACCTGAACTTTGTAAGATCTAGATCACCTCTTTCTTTGAGTATCACAGAAGTCAAACTTGTACCGTAAGTAACGTAACCATATTCTGGCAGGAATTCCAAACAATTCACCGGTATTCATTTTAGACTTTAAATTGGATGATTAGGAGTATAGATTTAGATCCTAGAATCTAGATCTAGAATATAGATCTAGATCTAGATCTAGATCTATAAACCTACTAGATGTCTAGATCTAGATATCATCTAGATCTAGCCAATTAAACAGTTTTATAAAGTGTTGAGAATAATTTTTTTGAATGGGACAAGACTTTGTTTATCTTGGCATTATAATACTAATACAGAGATACAGAGCAGTGTCTATGTACACGGTAACCGGGCACCTAACCTCAGTGTCTACGTACACGGTAACCGGCAATCAGCCGGGCATGTAGTCTCAGTGTCTCGTGCACGGTAACCGGGCAGTGCAGAACTCCCAAATTCAGTATTTGTCATCTGGTGTTGCCTTCATCCCCACCCCTCCCCCGACTGTACCTTTAAAAACAAATCTGTCCCCCCAGTATTCCGGAGTCCTGCTTAACAGTGCACAGACTTTGAATGAACTTTGGTGACCCCAACCGGTACTCACAGTGTGATGCTCTTGCGCAGGTTCACTGACTGGTCACGATGGCAAGCCCGACAAGACGCCTGTTATGACTTTCTTCTTTTTCAACAAGTGACAGCACAGGACAAATTGATTTATTTTCATTCCTGTTACCATGTACGTAGATACTGAGACTAGGTGCCCGGTTACCGTGTACGTAGATACTGCGACTAGGTGCCCGGTTACTGTGTACGTAGATACTGCGGCTAGGTGCCCGGTTACCATACGACTGAGACTAGGTGCCCGGTTACCGTGTACGTAAATATACACTGAGACTAGGTGCTCGGTTACCGTGTATGCAGACACTCCGTTGTTTATAAAATGTAAGCCACAACTCACAAAGGGAAAACATGCCTCTCACCGTTGCCATCAACGGCAGCTACACCGTGAGGGAATCGTTCACACCTGTCTGATTGTGTACCATGGGGTGCAGTAGTAGTTTTTTGGTTTTTTTTTGGTAGGTAAGTGTATTACTACCTTCACAACTGCATTAGGCAGCCGCATAACGCGCGGGACACACCTAACATTTTCAGTTGGCAGGAAAATTTGAATTTTGCCCGAGTGACGGCAGAAGCCTGTACTCTTATTGATTTTGGACCACCAAGGGATCTTTAACGTGTGCAACTTGCACACGGGACTTCGGAGATTTTTTGCCTTTGTCCGAGAAGGCTAGGTGTAGATCTTTCCTCTACCAGAAGATAGGGGTGTGGCTGAAAGACAGCAGCAGTAAGAAGGGGCCAAGGAGTAGCAGTGGTATGGCTGCAGAAAGAGTCAGCGAGCCCAAAGGAGGGGGCAAAGGAGGTGATGGGGTGGGGGCAGAAAGTGGAGACGGAAGCAGACGACGGAATATTGCTAGAGAGCAGGAAAAGATGTGAAAGGAGAAAATTTTAGAGACAAAAATTTTTCCGTCTCTACCTGGATTCAAACCCTGGACCTTTGAGTGAGAGGCCAACACCTTTTAAACCTCTAGGCCACGAGAGCCCCCTGGGGGTGTAGGTTCATGAATTAGTATTGTAAAGTAAAGAGGCCTTTATCTATACTCTAATATTATACCATTGTACCCCGTAGGCCTACTATATAAAAAGAAACTGTTGATCATGTGATCTTTTGTTAATTTTTATTGAGCTCCCAAGAAACTTTGGCTTCCAAAAGAAACTTGAAAATGGAATTACCCAATCATCATGTTTCATAGCCTTACTACCCGCATACAGCAGACATACCAATTTAAAGCTCTAAAAATTCTGCATCATCTGATATTAAATTAGTATTTCATCTATGTTAAGAGACACCCGAGATATGGTCACTCAAAATTGACCTTAACCCAATTCACCCTGCGTTGCCGCAGCAGTGCACTTGTGTCCTCCTGGCTTGCCGCGAGTTGTGGGGGAAAAATCGGTCTCAACTCGACACACTAAACTTAAGCTGGCATTCCATACTTCGGGTGCGAATTTCGTGTCCGAAATTCGGGTGCGATGAAAAAAGAGCCCTCCTTCCATATACGCGAAATTCGTATCCGTCATTTGACTGAAATCATGGCACCAGTTCAATCAGAGCAAGCACTCTACGTTGAAAACAAGAGAATTTTGCTGTTAGAACTCCTGTTCCTACGAAAGCAGCTTTAAATTGCTTTGCCCAGACTTGATGATGGTCCTTCCTTCATAAGTTTTCTTTTCTCGGGTTGTTTTCTTTGCGAAGCTGCGGTCCTATCACCGACAGCGCTGGCTGATGTGGCTGCGGCACAAACAGCAATGTTAAGTTATAATTAATGTATGTTAGAAGTTATATTCAAGTGCATTTAATTAAGGAGGGGGGGGGGGGGGGCTGTAGTGAAAAGCTATAATTTTTAGTTATTACATGATTTAAACGATAAATGATAGCATAGATAGATTACATAGACTCCCGAAAGTTTCCCACAAACTAAAAAAAAAAGTGGTTGCCATGCAAATGACAGCCACCTTGAAAATAAACACTTCTTTTCATTCTTGGTTTTAACACTTCTCTCTCGAACCAAGGAAATCAACATTTCGACGTTTTCCCCACTTATCTAGTGCTTCTATCATGTTCTATGCTGCTTCGTTCCTTTGAAGTAAATTTGGCGGGAACACTTCACGAAGAATTCGCCTGCGAAGAAAAAGTTTCGCTCCCTCGTGCGAAACAAAATCTTCGCATGCGAATTTCGGACTTGGCCATGCGAAATTCCGCCATATGGATTCACCCAATGACAAAAACGTTGGTGCGAAAAAAATAATTCGCAAGCGAAATTCGCATCGGTTTTTCGATATGGAATGTCAGCTTTAGACACGCATTGTGCCCAAACTATTTTTTAAAGCTATCAAATGAAATTTCGCTTAGATTTTACTTTAAAAGTTCTTTTATATTATTTTAGAGAGAAAGAGAAAGGAAAGAGCAGAGAAAACAATACATACATTATATATTCTTCGTCCGACTGAGACTCATTAATTAGCACTCGATTTTAATTTTGCCATTGGCAACTTTTATACTATATCTATGGTCTATATATATATAGCATTTCTTCGAAGTTTTCAAGGCGCTAAAATCAATCCGATGGCCTCGTTTTTCTAGATTTACATTTACTTTCACTTTCTTTGCCCCATGTCTAAAACAAAACTAAGAATATGGTTCATGTATTTCAACAAACACGAAAATATCCATGGTACTGTTGTTTTTTGTTACTGTTTTTTTTCTTCTCCTCGCCCATGAAAATTTCATTGGTCGCTTTCTTGCCATGATTTGCGGTGCATGACAAAACAACAAAACTAACTTGTACTTGATGAAAAACTGGATCGAAACAAGCTAGCAAAAGTTTGTACAAGCTACAAGCTACTTATTATTTTCAATAGAAACATGGATAAAAGTGGTTCGGAATCGATTTTGTGGACTGGCATTTTGATATACGACTATTCTCATAGCTCGTTTGGTTAATGTTAAGTCCTAGTTTTGTGTGTTACGTGTGATTGCTCTGTTTCCCGTTTTGTTTGAAACTATCCTGACAAAATATATCGTAATGAAATGTTTATTGCAAAGACAAATTTCTCTTTTCATTGAATATCAATGTAGATGTATGTCCATTGCTATCAATATTGTAGCTCCTCAATACACATGCAAAGACAATTTTATGTTTCTTTGATTTCTCACAATTTTGCCAAGCCTGATTTTTTGGGTCTATTTTGAGTGACCATATCTTGGACGTCTGTTACCATAGATGAATTATTAATCTATTAGACGATGCTGAATTTATTAAACATGAAGTTGGTATGCTACATGAATGGGTAATGCGAGGCTTTAACATTGAGTGATTACATTTTCAAGTTTCTGTTGGACGCTACGGTATTTTAGTTTACGCATCATGTGTAGGCCTAGCCTTTCTAACCTGAAGTGTTTACATTGGTTTTGAATTTTATGATTTAATCTGTGCGTGCTTTCTGGGTGAACGTTTAATCTTGCCTCTTTGCAGGAAAATGACAAAATATGTATACTGGGCCTATATATCTATACTGGTTCTTTTTGCAGATGAGTATTGAGGTTATTATCGAGGATGAACAATCCTTTGCTGAAGCGATACGAGATGTAAGAAATGATGGGGATGATACAACATACGTCATCTGCGGCCATGATGATGGAAATCCAAACCGGATCAAAGTTCTGTACACTGGCAGCGATACGTCGGAGATTGGTTCAAGGATGGATTCAGCAGAGATGATGTACGGCCTCGCCAGATACGAAACTAAATTTGACATGTCAACGACAGTCAAGTTTGTCTACATCCGTTGGTGAGCTCTTCTTCACTTGTTATGACACATTAGGTCCTGATAATTAATGTTGGTAGTTGGAGGGTGCCACTGTGGTAGGTCATACTTCTTTTTTCTAGCTAGCTGTCTGAGTTTTTTTCCCCAACACTAAATGAGAGATATTTATTTTGTGAATATATGCTGTGTTAATTATATGTGCTTTTCTTTACTCTAATGTGTCACGATGCAGTGGAATCAGGCATTCATCAATTTTATGGTAAATGGAGTTATTGGTGTATCACTGTAAAGGTTGTTCATTTGCCTTGCATTTGATGAAAAAAGTTTAACCCTGTATCTAAAATAGAAGTTGAGATATTTGCCATTAAAGGAGGTGGAGTCACCTGATTTCCGAAGTAAATCTGACGTGAAAATGGCTGCCCAAGTTTGGTGACTTTGATAGCTCAAAAGTAGTTGGTACCTGCAAATTTACATTTTTTTGTGCCTTTAATCGAGGTCTTTCCATAAAATCAATCATAAAAATGTTTTTGAATTGACATACAAGATGATGTTCCATAATATAAAAATTCGAGAAAAAAAATTCAGAACTGGCCGAAAAATGCTGATTTCTCGGATTGCATTATTTTGATGAGCGCCTGATTTGACCACAATGCCTCACAAATGCAGCTTGATGATTGCGATGGGAGGTAGGCACAGCACAGCACATGATGGTGGAGACAGAGAGTACATGATAGGAACAGTGCCTGGCATTTTGACTTTTGTTTCTTTGAAAATCAGCTACCTGTTGATAGCTTTTTTGTATAATAGCCCGTAGAATCAGGTGGGTAATTACCTTTATACAGCCATTTTCAATATCATGCATCGGTACAAAAATGGCGAAATATTCAAAAGACTACAGGGCAGTAGAGTTATAATGTTCTAGCTATTTTCAAGATCAGTTATCAGCATGGGGAGGGTGGGGGAGGAGAGAGGCGGATTATCAGCCCGATTGAGACTAGACACAAGAAGTGAAACAAAAAGAGAATGGATAGCATGTGTGAGACTGAGTTCCTGTGTCTTTCTAAATTGTCCAGGATTGGTGAGAGTGTTGCTGTTGGGAAGAAAGGTCGCTACGGAGTTGTCCACGGCAGTATTTCGTCTCGGTTTACACCGTTTCACACCACAGTGGAAGCCAGCGCTCAGGAAGACTTGGACAACGAGAAAATCCTACAGATTGTAAGTTTGAGCCCACCACATCTCTCGAAAAGAAATATTTAATTGTAGATTTTTTTTTTTATTGCTCTCCTAGGTCTCGATTTTATAATGGTCATTGGTCTTTACCCAAAATTGTGAATAATATTGTTATTTTAATTGTAAATTTAGATTTTGTTTTTTTTAAACTGAAATTTTATCATAAAGTTTTTACCATGACCAATGAATAAGATTGAGCCGTGCTGTGAATTGTGATGAATTTGTGTTTTGGGCCCTCGTATGATCTTATGTAGTTGCGAACGCCGTAAAACTCTTACGCAACTTACTAACAGAACTCGCCTCACTGTGTCGTCAACTCGTTCTCTAAAGGTTTTTGAAGGTCACCGAAATTATGGTCATTTCTTTGTGCTGTTGTAAAAAGGACACATGACATGTCCTTCAGAGAGCGGGTGATTTGATGTGATGTAACATGTGTTGAACTACCACATCACTTTCACTGCGGGGCAGTGGCACTGACTGTAGTGTCTTTAGGCCATTCCCAAAGGGGGGACATTTCTCGTTCAAGCACAATAGAATTGTAAATGGGCTGATTCATGTCACGCTTATAACTGTGCCTGATCTACTACAGGGAACTGCTGCTTTTTGTTTCCTAATCCTTACTATTTTCATTTCCCTCTACTTCTTTTGTATGTTTGTCACTCTCTTGTGACCTGCTATTTCCGGGGTGCCTTGATAGTTGAAGCAGACCTTGTTCTGTTGAAGCAAGAGAGGTGAGCAGAGTAAGTCTGATTCCCTGTAAAAACTTCTCAGTTGACACACACCCCTTGGTGCTAATATGACCTTATGCAGTTGCGAGCGCCGTAAAACCCTCTACTATAATAAAATAAAAAAATAAAACTTTCTCTGCTGTCTTATGGTGTAATGGTTTGACTTTTCTCAAGTGCACACAGAAGATGTGAGTTCAATTCCTAGTGACGAAATATTTTGCTGAATATTTATATCGTCGTCTGTCCGCCAGGATATTGCTTCCCAAACAGTCCAGGTTGGTCCTGACAGGCATAGTCGGAGCAGCCCGCCTCTTAAGTGACACAAACTTTATGGATATACAGTCATGTCATTGTTATGTTGTTGTTTTTCCGTCATAAAACGTGTTCCTTCAAGTCTCTTTATGTAAATGGAAGTTCTTCTTATAAGTTGGTATCATGGTTTTTTTCAAAGAACGAACTCATCTAATGTACCTTCTTTTATTTTTTTAAAGGAGGGTCACACCCTGCTAAAAGTTGTTGACGAACGTCGAAATTGTTCCAAGTTTTCAAAGAATGGGGTTACAGACTCTTCAATATTCTACCCCTCGGGGTGGTGCTACTGACTGAAGTGTCTTTAGGCCATTCCCGAAAGGGGGGAAATTACCCATGTTCTTATGCTCATCAGAATTGTAATTGTACATGGGCTGATTGATCAATGTCATGCTCATAACTGTGCCTGAACTGCAACCGGGAACGGCTGCTTTTTCTTTCCTCATCCTTACTATCATCATTTTTCTTCTACTTTTTTTGTATGTTTGTCCCTCTCTTGTGGCCTGCTATTTCCGGGGTGCCTTGATAGTCGAAGCAGACTTTGCGCTGTTGAAGCTAGAGAGGTGAGCAGAGTAAGCCTGATTCCCTGTAAAGACTCCTCAGTTGACATCCACCCCTTGGGGCTCATATGTCCTTATGCAGTTGCGAGCTGCGTAAAACCACAAAAAACAAAAACTAAATTTTCTCATGGCTTGTTGTATGTTGTTCATTGTTCTGTCAATCTATTACCTCTGTCTGAGGTGGACTTTTTTTCTAAATTTTTAAAACCTTAAATTACTTTTATCGTGTCAATGTGCTTCTCTTACAAATAAACAAGCTCAAACAAATAAACACATTTCTTGTTGGAAGGAAAACTTTTCTATCCTCATGCTGGAGTCTTGTTTTCAGCTTCTCTCGAACATTTTTTTCCCCTGATAAGCTGGATGAGACGGCGGGCACCAAGTCGAAGGTGTTGGAGATGGACCAGATTCCCGAGCGACAGATGAGAGGCTTCACGCAGACGCAGCTGCCGCAGCGAGAGGCCAAGAAAGGGTTCAGCGTGTCGGCTGTGGCCTCGAAGGGAGCAGAGGTGGAGTTCGCGCAGGATGTGTACGAGGCCGTGTCGCGAGTGAGGGACAACGAAGATTCAACCTCGTGGATGGTCGCTGGTTACCAAGACGCTAACCCGAAAGGTAAACCCGAAGAATTTTGGTCTCTTTTGCCGTAGCAGCTGTCATAAGAAAGTGTCTTGTTTGCATTTTATTGACAACAGTTTCTTTAGCTGTCTGTTTTTTAACCAAGGCCAAGCAAGCCTAACCAAACTGAATCTTTTAAAAATTGTAAATATAAATATTTTGCACCGCATTGTCGCAATTTTGGTCATTTAAGAGGTATACTGTTTCAACTGTGCCTTCCAGATATGTGTTATGCTGCAAGTGTGTGGGTAAAAGAAATAGGTGAACTAGAAGGAATAGGTCAACTCTTAAAAAAAAAAAATTATTTCTGAGGGCAATCTGTTGTGGTCCTCATACAAACCAGGAGTCAGCACATGCTCAATACTTACTTACTTTACTTCTACTTTTTCATCCTCTGTTGCCCTTAAGTTTCGAAGGGAGATGCAGTTTTCTATTGTAGGCCAGCTCTGCAGCTCTTTTAGTTGGGATATTATAATTTTTCAGAGTTTCCTCAACACCCTCAATCCACCTTTTGCATGGCCTTCCTCTTCCTTTACAGCCTGAGTGCTTGGTGTTCTAGGCTCTCGAGGCTGGCTGGTCAGGTGACATACATAACAGATGGCCAAACCATTTTATTTTCTATCTTTCTATGAAATGTACGCAGGATCAGTGTCAATAGCTGCTCTTACTCCTTCGTAAATCTCTGCCTGCTCAATAAATAGAACAAAAGTAGGCTTACTTAGTGATCACTTTTGTTATCTTCTCTCTTTATTCAAAGCCGAAGGTTGTTACTTTCTTGTTGAATAATTGTTGTAAAGAAACTAGTTACACAATCAATGTTAACATAGTAGATATTTGTATTTGTGAATGCTTTCGCCCCCGTCACCGCATCACTCACAACAGCAAACACAAAGAATAAGAATAAAAATTGTTGCTTTATTGTAATTGATGTGGTCACTTTTGGGCTTTTTTTACCCGTTTGGCCAAAGATTGTCTCTTTCATGTCTGCTCCTCCTTTCCTATCAAACATCTATCGTCCTTATCTCTTCTTCTTTTCTTCGTATGTTACTCTCCAGTAGACCTCTAATCTTCAGCTCTTATATATATAACCTGTTTGTGTTGCAAGTGCTGTAAGAAGACTCTTGGCGCTCATATGACCTTATGCTGTTGCGAGCGCCGTAAAACCCTCTACTATTTAAAAAAAAAAGAAAGAAGATTCTTACTAAAACTTAACTAAAGGAAAGTTTGTGCTTGACTGTGCTGTGCCCTCAGGCCCCGTGGTGTGTATGGGATCCGGGGAGGGAGGTCTGAGTGAGCTCACAGCCTGCCTGGACGAGTCGATACCGATGTACGGGCTGTACCGAGTGACCCACACCGACATGGATGACATCACCACCGTCAAATTTGTCTATATTATGTGGTAGGTTTCTTATTCAGTACAGGGGAATAGTTTGGGTTTGTTTTTTTCCAGGGCGACGTCCAAGCCACTGTCAAATTTGCTACATTATACGGCAGGTTTCTTATTTAGAATGAGGGAATATTTTCGTTATTATCAATGTGAAAAAATGTATGAGTCAATTTTAATATTTTGTTTTTATCTAACCTTCCACAGTTTTGGTTAATTTGGAGCATAGAAACTAGATGGTTGTACCTTTGAGAGTTTTTGTCTGTTTCACATATATAATAATACACTTTTTTCCTTTTGAGCCTCCATTAAATCTTTCATCAAGGGAAAAGGTTTTTTAGACTTACTGACTGATGAAGGCTGCTCTTTACTGACTCTATACATTTGTTATAAATATCGAATTACCGTTTGTACTCTCCTATGACGCAACCTCACCTGTAATACATGGGATATACCTTTGGACTTTATTTTGGATGAAAAAATGGCGGGTGTTTTGGGTGGGTAAATATGTTATTTTACAATCTCGATAGGACGTTTAGACTTATTCCTAACTACATTTTGAAATGAAGCTTTTTTAAAGAAATATGTGTTATGTTGTGGTGGAATCAGGCGCTCGTCAATTTTTAGGTATTTTGAATTAATGGTACCAGTATAAAGCTTGTTCATTTTCTAGTTTGTGATATAAAATTTACCCATCTACCTTGAGCAGAGATTGAGTTATTTGTAATTGATGGAGGTGGGAGTGGCCTGATTTCAGAGGTAAAATTAGCGAGAAAATGGCTGCCAAAGTCTGGTGTCTTACATAGCTTGAGAAACATTGGAACAAATAATTTACATTTTTTGTGTCTTTTATCAACTTTTTTCATTGAAATCTTCATAGAAATGTGTTTTCCAAAAGATATAAAAAGTGTTGAACCAAAAAAACAAAAGGTTGAAAAAGATTGCAAAGCCTGCGGGAATATGTCGATTTCTTTGATTTCAATATTTTAACGAGCGCCTGATTTCACCACGCTGCCTCACATAATATAACAAGTTACCTCATGCTAGTGTTTGTCGGCATTCTTCTCTGTCAGGGTCCGCAACAAGACGAAGCCAATGACTCGAGCGAAGATCTCCACCCACAAGGGTATAGCGGAGGAAGTGTTCACGCCGTCACACGTTATGGTCTTTGCCTCGGAGCTGGCCGACATTTCTGAGAGAGACATCATGGACAAGGTGAGGCTCTCACGCTGGTGGAATTACGAAAAAAAAATCGGTCTCCCATCACCAATGTTACTGATTATCCCTGGAGAACCTGAATGTGATTACAGTCTTGAAATTTGATGTGGTACATGGAAATATATATATATCAAATGAATGGTACTCTGGCGTTGACCAGATGACAAGGACATGTGGTTTGTTGAGGGAGGCATTGTCCTGCCAGGAGCGAAATGCTCGCAGCTGAAGGGATTTGAAAACAACAGCAACAACATCGAATGAATAGACCGCTCTTATTTTAGAAAGATTTACAGTGGGTCTATTTCTAGACAGCATGGTCTAGTCTTATAGGACAATATGAACTATGGTCCGTAAAGACTTACATTTTTCAAATATCCTTATCTTCACTTAACTCTTTATCTCCGATGGAGGTAAACCCTCTTTTAGTAGCAATGCCGATCAGTTTTCCATGAGCGGCAAAACTTTAGTCCCAGTTTGCGGATGTATTTTTTGGACGTGATCGGAACGTAGGTGACTAACTTTCTCAAACTTGGCCTGTCCTATTTCTGGACCAATGTGAATGAAACTCGACAACCATTCAAAGAATAGGGCAAACTTATGATATGTGAGGCGTGCTGACAAAATGAGTTACTTCTCACAATCCATAAATGGAGATCTTTGCAAAAAATCGACACTAGGGTCAAATTTGTAGATTTTCTATTGTTGCCATATACTTTGACTATAACATGCCTTTCATTATTTCATACATATAAATTGTAAAAACTTCACCTATAAGCGTGATGTATCTATTTTTACAGTGCTCGAATCCGAGAAGTAACTCATTTTGTCAGCACGCTTCACATATGTGGACGTTGAAGTTTGTACACCTAAATTAAATTAACCTTCACTTTTGGTGTCGGAAACACTTTTGTATCGGCTATTCCAACAACAATAAGGAGCTTGATTTTCAAGGTCGAGAAGGTAAGAAATCCATCTTCCCTCTATAGTGTCCTCAAATTGTAACGTTCTGTGTCAAGTAGTTCGGGTTGGCTGTTCTCGCGAGAAACCGGTTCTCGGCTCGTCTCGTGCCCACTCCTAGTGTTGATAGCCTAAACACCTATTGGACCCATAATCATGAATTGTGGGTTCAGGAGTTCGAACTTCAGCTCGGTCCTACATTGTCTCCCTGGGCACGGCGCACCGGCAGTGGAATTTTAGTTGCCGCGGGGGGTTCCCCGCCGGGCGCCTTATCACGTCGGGGTCACGGCGGTCAGCTCCCTGTCGCCGCTCTGTCTGGGCCGACCTAATTTTTGGTATTTTTAAACGTACAATTGAAGTTGTTTCCTTGTATTTATGGTAATTCTCATTTAGTGCATCCAAAGCACGCATTTCTGCTCTTGAGACGAAAAAATGAACGAACATTGTAACTTGTCTGGTTATTTCGTTAGACGTGCTGGAGTCGGCAATGCTAAATTGTAATTTTTTTTTGACTAGCGTGAATGAAAAAAAATCAATATAAAAAAAAAGGCATCGTCAAAATCTGTAGAACTTTTGGAACATGAACAACATAACGTTGGTGCAGATACTCAGAAAAGATGGTATCTGCACTTATAATAGAAGGCTGTAATTTTACAATTTTATCCATCGGGCACACAATTTGCTATGAAGCAATTCCTCCAAATACAACTTTATGTGTCTAATATGATCGTGAATATTCGCATATTTTCTCGAAAGTTTATAAAAGTTACCATGAAGTTTCTCTATGAAAAGTACAAATCGATTTTAGTGCTAGAATACATCTTCAACGTAGATCTAATACACGAACAGTATCTGTTACACTCCAGAAATTGCTTACTTTCCTTAAAACGGTGAGTCTAGGTTTTGTAAGTTGACTGAATAATAAGGATGACTTCTCGTAATTGGGTTATAAGAATAATTTCTAGCTTTCCAGGGACACTGAATCAGCACCAGACTTTTCCAGCTTTTTTTTCATTTCTATGACTATTTGCAATAACTGACAATGTGACTTATTTCTTTTCATTCATAATTGTGTCCGCGCATATTTCCTACACAAAAACTAAGAATGAATGTTTCAGCTGTCATTATTTTTATTCCATACAAGAAGTTTATCTCTACCCATATATTTACACGGTTTTGTGGTTTGTTTAATCGCTTAGATTCTATATTATATCTTTTTAGTTGTATGCAGGCTGCCACAGACACAGCATGATTCATGAACAAACGCAGAGTAACTTTCTCTTGTTTAATAGTAAAATAAGAGCTAACGCTGATCGTTTTTAGTTAAAAAATGCAGATGTGCATCTTTCTTCTCTTATAACTTGACTATTACTACTAGCGCAGAATTAAGATTTCTCATGGTAAAAGACATGATATTCGTAGTCAGTTTAACACAGATTTTGGAGAGATCTGTCGTGCCTTTTTTAAATTAACAATCATTTATTCATAAGTTTGTAACTAAAATAGGACAAATTGGGTGCTCTACAAACACTTGTCTAGAGCAAAAACTAAGGCACAGAAACTAACCATTCTAACGCAGAATAAATCTCAAGACATTGAGCTTTTAGTACATCCGCGTAATGGTTTGCTATGTGGGATGGGGAAGAAGTTATATCGTTTTAAACATAGTCAAAAATGCGAACTTCCTGACCGACAGCGGCAAAGTCGCTTCAGGGCTCATTAACCCCGTGACCCCGAGCCGGGGAGCTCCGGCGAGCTGCTGAGTCACGCGAACTAAGAGTAACAGAATCGGGCGAAAAGTGACGCCGTGTGGGAAAGGCACTTTACACTAATTTCGTATTTGGTTCGGTCCTTTCAGAGATTGATGTTAAACTTGAAGGTTCTGCCCCCTGAATAATGTAATAGTGTAGATAGGGAAGTTACACCTAAAACGTTTTAACTTTTCATTCAAACTTTGGCACTTATGTGTCCTAATTGTGTTGTGTTGCACATAGAGTTTTGTTTCACCCTTGGTTACCTGGCTTCTCCCCCCCCCCCCCTTCCACCTTAGTTTATGTCTAATTGTAACTGGACTCCATTCAAGATTTCAGTTCATGGGTGGTTGGCGGGTGCTCTGGTATGGTTTGCTTCTTCTTTCCTATCAAACATCCATCGTCCTTTTCTCCCCTTCTTTTTTTATGTTTGTTACTCTCTTGTAACACCTCTAATCTTCTGGCGCTCTTATGCAGTTGCGAGCGCCGCAAAACCTCTACTAAAACTAAAGCTAAAAGATTCCTGTTCTGTTTATCTCCACAGATCCGCCAACAATCCGGCTCAAAGTGAGATGTGTTCTGTTCTTGCCGTCAGCCGAGATATAATGGTCAGTGGGTACCACGGGTACTGGAGCCAGTGATAATGCTGCCTGTTTCCATCTTCATGTTGCCACAAACTTTATGCAATTGATATTTAGCTGGAGGAGATCTTTTTTTTTTAAAGAATCTCACAATCCCAACCTCCAAACCCCCCCCACCACCACTACCCTCCCGTTCATTTTTCAACTTGTGATGTATCTTCCTTTGGGTGGTTGGCAGGTGTTCTAGTGTAGTTTGCTTCTTCTTACCTATCAAACACCAATCGTCTTTATCTCCCCTCCTTCTTTTTTGTGTTTGTTACTCTCTTGTAACACCTCTAATCTTCGGCACTTATATGACTTTATTGTGTTGCAAGTGCCATAAAACACTTACTACAAAAAAAAAATGTATCTTCCATCTACGTAAAACTTTTGTCCTTCTTTCAACGCACGAGTCACGCCAGACTTGTACCTGCCCTTACACTCACATATATATATAGGCCTGTACCATAACATAATCTTTGCCATAAGGCCAGCAAGCTGTTCCTCTAGTCTAAGCCCAGAGAGCAAACTTCTTCACGAGAGAGAGAGAGAGAGAGAGAGTAAAGGCTTTATTCTCTAAAAAAGTGTTTAGTTTAGTTTTAGTAAGAGTTTTACGGCACTTGCAACACAATAAGATCATATAAGTGCCGAAGATTAGAGGTGATACAAGAGAGTAACAGGAAAAAAAAAGAAGGAGAGATCAGGACGATAGATGTTTCATACGAAAGAAGGAGCAAACCACACAAGAGCACCCACCAACCACCCTCTAAAAAAAGTGTACCTACATTGTGTATCTTTTCTTGCTTTTCTTACATCTAAAATTTAACCCTATCCGTACACCTGGGGTCATTTGGTACCGCCAGGGGTTGTATTCTGCACATTTTAGAATACTTATAGTGTGAAGATCTCTTTGGAGCTTTCAGTATTCCTCGAAAAATCATTTTGACAGACTGCTGTTCAAAGCATATGGATCGGATCATGAGTAAATTTCCTCTTTGGAAAGTAGGGCACAGAGTTCCCGACGTCGTATGGATACGATAATAAAACACAAGGTACGGATAGGATTAAATTTTTACAAAATATGTTATCAGCATATATTATGCAGCTGACTCCACAGGTTAAGACACTGCAATTTTTAAAAAGATTGATTTTTGGGGTTAGTATGTCTGAACAGATGGCGGATGATAATTCACTTTCTGCCACAGAAGGTTCTGCATTGTTTATTTGTGTCACAACGCGGTGGAATCAGGCGCTCGTCAGTTTTTAGGCATGTGGAATTATTGGTATCATCTGAAATCTGATTTATTTGCCTAGCTCCCAATGATATAAATATCCATTTATCCTGGATAGAACTCAGGATATTTGCGATTGAAGGAAGTGAGGTCGTCTGGTTTCAGTGGTGAAATTACAGAGAAAATGGTGCCAAAGTTTGGTAACTCCAATAGCTAAAGAGTTTTTGAAAACAGAAAAATGGCATATTTTTTGTGCCTTTAATCATTGCTTTTCAGTAACATTCACATGGAAATGTGTTTTTATATGAACATAAATGAGTTGAAGCCAAAAATAAAAATTATATAAAATGTCCAAACTGGCGGAAATATGCCGGTTCTCTGATTTGTTATTTTGACAAGCGCCTGATTTCACCACGCTGCCTTACATATGTCTTGAACATATATGCAGCTGATACCACAGATTTTAGAAACTGCAATTATTTTGAAAAGATTGATTTTTGGGCTTACAACGTCTGAACAGATCATCATCATCATCAATACCTTTCCCCCCTGGCAGGGTATAGGCCACATACAAGTTCCTTCCATTTATCTCTGTCCTGGGCCATCCTTCCTAGCTCGTTCAAAGTGAGCTTCATCTCTGTAATGTCCCTTTCCACACATCTCCTCCATGTTTCCCTGCCTCGTGCTCCCTGTGGGTTCCACTGCAGCAACTGTCTTGTGATGTTTCCGCTGGGCTTTGTGAAGGTGTATCCCATCCATCACAACTTTCTTAGACCTATTTTTACTTCTAAATCCTTTTGTCCTGTCCTTTCCCACAGCTCTTCATTTCTTATTCTATCCTGCCACTTAATTCTTAGAATACTCCTCATTCATCTGTTGATGAAACAGATGGCCGATGATACTTCATTTTCTGCCACAGAAGGCCCCGCATTGTTAATTTTACCACACACTGACTGTGCACCTTATGGTTTGAAAATGTCATGTCTGTGCTGTCGTCTACATTTGTCGCACAACGTGGTGGGGCTCGTAAATTTTTGTGCATGTGGAGTTAATGGTTTCTTCTTAATTAAAGCGTGTTCATTGGTCTTGCTTTTAATGAAAAAATACCCACCTATTTTGAATAGAAGTCGAGACGTTTGCGATTGAAAGATGTGGGGTTTGCCTGGTTTCCGAGGTAAAATTAGCAAGAAAATGTCAGTCAAAGTTTGGTAACTTTTGTAGCTTGAGAGTCCTTGAAAACTTAAAAATTTGCATTTGGTAGGCTTTTAGTCATCCTTTTTCACAGAAATATTTTTTAATGGACATAAAAGGTGTTGAGCCAAAAAACAAAAATTGCCAAACATGGAGAAAAATGTGGATATGTTTGATTTGAATATTTTGACAAGCGCCTGATTTCACCACGATGATTGTCATTTGTTCTAGGCTTTGGTGGCAGGACAGTGTCATCGTTAATGTTAAAGAAAGAAAAGGGGGATGTGGGAAGTGGTCATTTGTACGGATGGCTGTCCTCTTTTCTCTAGTTTATGTAACATTGTGGGAAGATTCCACTATGATTTACTCATATGAAAAATAAGAGGGTGTGCCTTATTTGTTGTTGTTAAAGGGCTTACGTCATCAGATCATGCTCTTATGTATGGGGTCCCCAAGGCTCTGTCCTCGGTCCAGTTTTGTTCACCATATTTACCTAACCAGTTGTCTAGGATATAGTTAAATATGACTTCAAAGTATCATTCCTATGCTGATGACACCCACATTTATGGTTCAACAATGTTTACCAACTTAGATGAACTTGTCCATCATGCTGACTATTGTATTGCTTACGTGAAAATACTGAGTGAACAAAAACAAATTGATGCAGAATAGTGATAAAAAGAAGTCATCCTGGCAGGCAGTTCAAAGTCTCTTAATGAGGTTGACCACGATCTCATGAAAATGGTGATGCGGGAATTGCATTTTCAAGAAAAGTTAAAAATCGTGTGATGATCCACATGTATTTAGAAATATAAAAAAATCAGTAAAATATGTCATCTAATCAATACTAAGTATACTGCTTTATTAGTAACTAGTTTTGTTTGATCAAGACTTGATTGTAACTCCTTTTTATCAGGAATATCATGGAAGAAAGTGAAAAGACTTCAAACTGTCCAAATAAGTCCTGCACGTTTAGTTTTACAGAAAAGAAAGCGAGACGCTGCTACACCTCTTTTACAGACTCTGCACTGGCTTCTTTTTGAGAAAAGACTTATGTACAAGTTTGTCACTTTTTGTCACAAATGCTTGGATAATAATTCACCATCCTATTTGTCAAATCTCGTGAAACTATACGTTCCATCTTGCAGTTTAAGGTCATCAGCTGACGAAAAAGAAATTTGTTTTTCCATCTATGAAACTTAAAACAATTAGTGAAATAGTATTTGAATGTCAAGGCAACCAAGGTCTGGAATGCTTTCCCAGTAGTTTAAGAGAGATCAAATCCTTTAATTCATTCAAATGTCAGCTAAAGTCGTTTCTGTTTTTAAATTAATGAGATAAATGTTTTGAGAGATTTTCTTTCGGTCAAAACACAATGTACTGATTATATGTTACTGTTGTATTGTAAAATGCTCAGACCCTGTTTACTTGGATCGGGGTTGAGCGCTAAGTCAATGCCATATATATCATTCCTATTATTATCATTATTATTATTTTTATCATTATTATTATTATTATTATTATTATTATTATTATTATTATTATTATTATCTTTTGCTTTGCTTTGTAAGCTAGAAATTATAGTTTGTCTTTTGGACTTTTGTCTTTATCCCTTGGGTGTGTCTTTTTGAGATCCCCAATCAGCAGTTGCTAATAATTGTGTTTTGTGCAGAAATTTACACCTTGCCATGTCTGCAATAGAGAGGCCAGTCTACGGATATATCTCCACAGAACGACTGTGGAAGGACTCCGCCATACGTCACTTTTCACATTGGCGCCTGGCAGGGTTTTATACTAAACAGTCAGTTTGCGTATATGTCGGCTTTGTCGTGTTTTGAAAGAGGTGGGCTTTGATGTTTTATTCCTGTCAGTTTGTCAGTAGTTGCTTTAGTTGCGAGCTCCGTAAAACCCTTACTAAAACTTAATCACTACGAGATCCTCCATAGCAAAATGTACTATGTCCATTTACCACAAAACTGAGAGAGATGAGAAGAATAAACTTATTCTTTGAAAACGATCCCATAAACGAAATGCAATTTTGTCTTAGAAAATATCCAATGATACAGTGCATTTTGAGAGAAAAAATATTCTCACTACAATTCTTATCTTAAGGTTATGGAGTTGACAGGGTTTCCCCTGAAATGCCCAGATTTGGCGAATAGTGTGTTTTGTAAATGGAGCGATGATTCAAACAAGAGAGGGAAACTTGCCGTAGTGGGTGGTTAGCGAGTGCTCAGGTTTGGTTTGCTCCTTCTTTCCTATCAAACATCTATCGTCTTTATCTCCTCTCCTTCTTTTTTGTGTTTGTTACTCCCTTGTAACACCTCAAATCTTCAGCACTTATATGACCTTATTGTGTTGCAAGTTCCGTTAAACTCTTACGAGAGAAAAAAAAGTTCCCAGAACTTGCCTATGACGATGATTGTATGATTGGCTGTGGTGAAGATTGTGATTCTGTGTTGTTGCTTTGTAGCTTACACTCGGGAAAGAGCTTGGAAGAAAATCAAAATATTCAAACTTTGATTTGTACATTCTCACTTTGATAATTTTGTAACATGCATTCCGATATTGTTATTTTCGTTGCTTGTTATGTTTAAATATCTCTCAGGATAAAATGGACCAATGATTCCACAGTACAATCAAAATTGTCCAAGATGGCCACCCTCCCGTTAGCGGGGAGAAAAGTTGTTAGTTGTCTTCGTTCGACAGGTGGGTGTCTTGGACAGTGTAGAAAAAAGTACAAGGGGGGGGGGTTGTTGTTTGTACAGCTGATTGTATTGGACAGGTGGGCCTTAAAGCAGGTTCCAACATGGGTATAAATCAGGCTGCAGGATTTATTGGAATATTTTTGTGGGTAGGGAGTTGTAAAGTTTTGAGTTTTATTTTTATAGTCGGCATTGATGGCTCAAAGAGTTTATTGATGGCTCAGAGAATTCATGTTATATTTAATTTTCACACCGACAGAAAGCTAGCACCTCTGAACCTAAAGTATCATTTTCATACATTACCAGTAGGGTTGTTTTTTTTGGTAGTAAAGCTATGTTGTTTTTCTCTGTCAGAGTAAAAAATGTTGTACCGTACCATTGAATTACTGACTGACAAAATAGGTGGTGGTCTTCCAGAAAGTGAAATGTGTTCTTCCAAATTCTCTGTGTCTTCG